ACATGACAGGATATGCACAAGTGAAAATATCGATACTCCGGAGGCCTTATTATGGGCGCCATTTTGAATTTTAGGCATTTTGAGGGGTGCTCCGGGATCGGACAGTGATACCATTTTAGGATACTGTTCGAGAGAACCTACTAATGACGTTTACACAAGTTTTGATTACATTTTACATTGTTAACGACGTTCTCACGATGATCCAACGCGAAAATTCGGCAAAACATAGCGAAATCAGGGCCCCCTGCCCCCCCGGCCCCCATGGCCTCAGAATTTTGGGCTCACTTGTGAATTTGAACCTTCTAGGTATAGGTAAAGATGATATCCTGAAAGTTTCATGCTTTCTTCCAGAAATGCACGATTCTGAGAACTTTTTCCCCTTATCCGCCCTACTATTATTCTGCCTGGGTAAATTTAGGCTTTAAGGCATCTGTTTTGATAGAATATGAGAGTGGAACATGATAAAATGCATGGTCAATGGCATATGATAGCTAATAGTAGTGACTGCAAAGAAACGCGAAAACGTCATTTTCATGAGAAATAACTTGAGGCGATTGTGGATGATTGATCTGCCACTCATACTAAAAGGTAGTCTAGAGTCATGACAATAACTTCCGAGTAAAATTACGAGGTGCTCAGAGGTGCAAAGTATATTTTTTGGGTCCTACTTTTGCGATTTTATTGAAAAAACTGACTATGTTTAAGGGTTAATCTAGAGCATTAGACACGATAAAAAAGAATTGTTTCAGCATGGAACATCTAGAAATTACCTTATATTTTGTGAATCAAGTCTCAAACACTTTCAGTTACGGTGAAACAACGAAAACAAGCCGCTCGGTAACTGGAAGCGTACTCAAAAGTGCTCCGCGCGCCGCACTTCCCAGGCTTGTCACATCCTTATTAGTGTTTCAATCTAGATGATATTTTACAGGAGTCTTCTTTACAGTATGTACTATCGATCTACGTATTGAAATCGAACTTTTTCCAAACTTCATTTTTCCGATTTATTGCCGCTTAAATCGGGCTATTGGACCATAGTGCGCCGCGCCGCGCCGCCGTAGCGCAACGCGCGCGCGCTCTGCACTGCCTCAGCGACATGCCGCACGCACGCGCTAAGCTTACGCCGGCCCGAAAGTTCCCGTTCGTTGTAATGTATCATTACGAATTGACCTGGATACACTTCAACATTAAAAAACAGTTGAAATGTATAAATACATCAAAAAGACAAATTTTCTTTGTAAAATATTGGCTATATGTAGGAAAATCAATTTCAACAAATTAAATAGTTCAAAGTTAATAAACTAAATCAAATAATCCACAGTTTACTTAAAGGCCTAGTGTCTTAAAATGGTTGACAGATTATTTTTATTATTTTTATATGGTTTTATTGACTTTGACTGTGACTTGTAAGAGATCATGAAAATAATTTTCTTCAAATAATACACTAGACATTAGTTAAATTGTACGTTCTGGCGGACAGGTGGATTCGGCAACCCTACATTGTGTCTCATGTTGTGAACAAAGACTCTCAGTGTTCGATGTAAGTCGCGGGAAACTTGCAAAAGCGTATTACAATCGACGCAGATTGCGCGTTATGGAGTGGATTTCAGACTTTTCAGGTGTGCTCAACATGATTTTCAAGCGAATTTCCTCTAATGAAGTGTAAGCAGTTGGCTGTATCCCTTGCGTACAATAGACCCATGTTTATGGTGCCATCTTTCTTTCAAACCCTGTTTTAGTGCTAGATATTCCACCCGTATTATTTAGGAATTACTTCACTTACTTCGTTTAAAATCTACATACTTTTTTTTTACCAAGGTATACATGACACAGAATGTATAATTAAATTTCCTTTTTACATTAACATTCATTAAAGTATATTTTTTGTCATCATTTTTTCAGTCTTCAAATAATAATAATTTAAAAAAAAAAAAAACTTTAGAAAACTAACAACTAACTTTTTGAATGTACCATTCATACCTGTTTTACTTCAGTTTTACATCACTGCTTTTAAATGGAACATTTTCACTGATAGCAAACGGGCTGGTTTGGTTAGGGGTTTGTCGTAATCTGGTAACGAACCATCGAAAAATTGCTGAGATGGTCTGAAATCAAATACCTTGGAAACTTCTTGGCTCCAAGTAATATCTATCGCACCTGAATGGAAGTGAAACTTTACTTTTTAGAATGTTCTATCTTTTATTTTGAATTTTCATAGTTTCAAATCACCGAATGCATTAGCTGTAATTATTTTTCAAGTTGTAAGTTTGGAAACATTCGAGTGGGAACAGAGAGCGGTTTATCTGTTGTAATGGATAGACGTTGCACAAAGGGAAAATGGAGTGGTATTATCGGTGGAAGCGGGTAGTCGCAACGGACAACTGAATTAAGTAATAGACTTTGCATAAAGAATTCTCAAAAATCTCAACTGTCTGTTTGAATCAAAACCAGTTTTTTTAATTGTTCCGGCTTTTTCCGCATCCAACAAGAGGCTCATCAAGCTGGGGAACGGAACGGTACGAGACTTATGAACCATTGTATAAACGCACCCCCTGCGCCGACCGATTTTCGGATGCCGCCCTATGGTTCCAAAGCCAGATCTGAGTGTTATAAAAGCAGATTAAATATTTAAACCGTGCGAAATGAAATTTTTAAGAGTTTTTGGGGGATGCAGAGTTCAGAAATAACTCACGCTCTTCCATAATAATCCCTTCTTTTGTAATTATAATGTTTTGAAATACAGCTATGGAGCACCACTTTTAAGGCCCACCAATCAGCCGTATGAACTCCTAATCATCTGCCAAGCCTAACTTAAGCTCAAGTGCATTTATATTCTTAGTGTATGAGGGTAAAATATTGTGAAACACTGAAAAATAAATTAACGGGACTTTGATGTGGCCTCCCTAAACGATTATTTAACATTTGAAAGTCCCATAGCGCTTCATGAAAGACCCGCCGATCTGCTGTATGAATTTCTATTGGTCTGTTGAGTTAAAATTGAGTTAAAACGTTTTAATCGTAATGAATTATGGGGAAGAACATGGTTCATCATGAAGAAACTAGTCTTACTCCCGATCGCCGAGACTCGTATGTAGTTGTTCTTGCTCTTGCTCTGCACTCGTGACCAAAACTGAATATTTTGAATAGCATATTGCGTTGCATGTTTGGATTTGGATGTGAAAATTTTTAAGCAACCGGTATATCATTGAATGTGGGGAATTCAATAAAAAAAATTCAAGGAAATACCGGAATTACATTCTCTAAATTATGCGTCCATCTTGTATGTATTCGCATTCCTTAACCTATGATCGATTCTCATTACATGGTTCTTGGTTTAGGTCTCTCATCAGCAGAGTGCTTTTTTGTACGTCCTGTATGTAACACTTTAAAGTTATAAGCACTTAAGAATTAGTGTAAGTACAGGATTTGGAAACTTACCTATTAATCCACCTGAAAAAGGTTAAAAAAATACTTACTATTTGTCAAACTGCAAAAATGTAAAGAATACTGAATACTGAATACGTATTCAATAGGCATCTATTGTATTCATCGATTAATTGATAATTAAGGTAACTGGAAGTTATGCTCAAGATTCCGTTTGTTTAGAGACTTAAAGCAGTACGAGAAACATTTTCCAACCAGCTAATTATGATGGATTTCTGAGTTCAAAGAAGTTGAAAAACAAGTCGTAGGACTGGAGGAATGAGTAGCTTTACTGTAATGTTCAGTTTGTAGGATGTGTCTCAACCTTACTCTACCGTTACTATTAAAAGAAATGAATGAGCAACCAGCATTTCGATGTAAAGAGTAAGTATTATTCCTTTGATATCTTCCGGCCGCACGGAGAGAGCATTTTCTCTATTAATTTGTGGATGTCTATGTTCCCCCTCTCCCCTTCTTATAATATATTTGTACATGTTGCATTTGTTGCTCAAAACTTACTAGTCTGTTTTCGTGTTCACAGGCATTATTGATATGTAAATAGAAGAATGAAAGACCCGGAGCCATGCGAGGCTCACATTCGTGAGGTCTAGAGCAAGTTACAAAATGGACTCGTATGATTTATTTGGGGAAGATGTTGGTGGAAATGTCTTGGATGGTTTGCCAGACTTGGGAGGTGACAATTTTAACTCGGCTGCTCATCAACAAGATGCATCAGGAGCAACAGCAGGTTACGTTCAGCCGTCTTACCCCCACCAAATGCCACCAGAAATGCACCAGGAGTCACCCTTGGCTAAGCTCACCTCCTTTGGGACAAGTGATTATCCTTCTTCAAATCATATTGAACCCTCTGCTCAAAGCATTTATCACTCTAATCACGGCCCGTTCGATAATTCTGGCGCAAGGTCAATGCCTTCACCTTCTCCAACTGCGGCAGGTTACATTAGAGGAGCGATGATTCCACAACAGCATGGGAGACATCCACAGCAGCCCCCAGGTAGCTCCTATTCTCAGTATGGAGTTCCTCCTAATAATATCTATGGGATGGAACATCCTGATGCAAACTTGCAGTGGGCTGGGTATGCAAGGCACTATCCACAAACTACACAAACCACGTATAGGCAACAACATGTTACTTACCGACAAGAAGCTGAAAAAACTGCTTCACAGTACTCTAACCAAAACTTAATGGGCTCGCTAATGCAAAATAGCTATCAACGCCAACAACAACAACAACAACAACAGCAGCAGCAAGTTCAACAGCAACAAGCTCAACAACAGCAGCAACAGCAACAAGTTCAACAACAGCAGCAAGTTCAACAACAGCAGCAGCAGCAACAAGTGCAACAACAACAGCAGCAGCAGGTTCAACAACAGCAGCAACAAGTGCAACAACAACAACAACAACAAGCGCAACAACAGCAACAAGCACAACAAGGCATATATGCAGGATCACAAGGTATCATGTATGGAAATGCAAACCAGTCATATTCTGGTTATCACCAGGGTAGACATATTGCTGCTTACTCTCAACAGCAGCAAATGCCCATGGCTGGTGTGAACAGTTCTCCTCAGCCGCATACCACGTACAACCATATGCAGTCACCAATGGCGCACCCAGGTTATAGCCAGCAGCAACAGATGCCCCAACAAGGAATGCCACAACAGCCAATGGGGATGGATGTCCCAGGAGCAAGTCAGTATTCTAATGTAAGTGCTCCTGCTCAAACAAAATCCCATGTCGCTCAGCAGCAGTCTAGTGGCAGTCCTCAATCACAGTACAGAGCTTCGTACTCTCAGTTATCTCCGCAAATGTCTCCAAGACCACAAATGTCACCGAGACCTCAAATTTCGTCCCCAAGACCTGTAATGTCTCCAGTCAAACCAAGTACGTTGTCTCCTCATCCACATCCTCAGCAATCACCGAGGCCACCTGTGTCATATCCTCAGCAAAGTACGCTGCAGCAGTTAGAACAAATGGTGATGCCATCAGTGGCAGGTCCTCCAACTGATTACCCCTCGTATCCTCGTGGTCCTTCCGCACAATCCTGGCCACATCAGTCTTCGCAACAGCACTCAGTGAACGGTAGTCTAGGAGGACTTTCTGATCAAGGAATGCCGGGTTATACTTCCATGCCTACGGATGATTCAATGATGGATGCTCAGTCAAAAAACCTTCAGTCTTCAAGTATACCTCCATCTGGGATGGTCATGCCGGATTCAGCATTGTCGAATTCTAGTTTGTCTGGATCCAATGGCAGTGTAGATTTTCAAACTGGTGTGCTCGATAAGTATTCATCGTCTGAGCAGTCGATGCCGCAGCACATTCCTTCTAATCCAGAGCTTCAGTCATCACAGGCTATGGAATCTTCTCAAAGTACAGCACACGATACTAGTAGTAGTAATATGCCTCCAGTCAGTTACAGTGAGCAGCCTTATCAAAACGGAGTGAAAGTTGACATGGAATCTTCTTCTCAGCCCAGTGGATATGCAACTGAGTCTCCAATTTTTCAACCTCCTATTGGTCACCAACAAGAGATGGCAGCTCTTCAACAACAACTCCAAGAGTTGTATTGTATTCCACCAAATCCTGAGATTCAAATGCGGGTGAGTCTTTTATGTCTTCGGATCTATTTTATTCTTTTTGTTCTTTAATTTTTATTAAATCCCGTTCACGTCGTACAGTATTTTAATCAACCATACCATGGTTGTCAAGAAATTTCATTTAGTCGGAAAGCAGGAAGCATTGACCTTAAACCACAAAAAAGCACCGATTTGGGTGCTTTTCTAAGGGTGGCTAGCGACCGGGAAAAGTTAGGGAATGAACCCTACGGTAAATTATCTGGAAAAAGTCAGGGAATTTCGTCAACGGTCACGGAATTTTTTGTGGTTTCGGGCTCCACGTTTAAATGGGGTCGGCAACGGGCCAACTAAGCTTGTTGTTGTGCCAACGGGGTGGCGCTCTCAAGCAGCGTTTCGGATGACTTCACGGTTAGGGAATTTCATTAGAAGTCGGGAAATGATAAAAAGAAAGATTGCGTCGCTTGTCGTTTATCATGTGGACTGTGTTGAGCAGAAAGGAAGCAAGCCACATTGGCTTTTGGCAATTTAATTTTTACGTGAAAACGGTTGTGCAGATTTTGGGCAAATTTCAGTGAATTTTCTTCACAGTGCAAATCAAATACCTTATAATTTTCAAAGGAATCTGCCCAAATGATCTGTTGTATAAAATCAACTTTCCCAGTCAAACTTGGAATAGCTGATGTGGCTTGGTTCCTCTCTGCTAAACGCGGCCCATTTGTCGTTTCTGAGCGCGTTTAGTTTTGCCATCAGCATAAAGCTTTGAATCAGTTTCAAAGAGAATTCGATTAACTTTAACTTTGAAAATAGTTAATTTTGCTCTCCAATCAACCCTCTGCTAGTTACCGGCCACAATCCGTGTAAAAGGCGGATTCAAAGCCACTTTTCCAAATTTTGCAACTTTTAAAAAATTGTCTTGACGCCAAGTAGAAATTCAGACTCAGCACCAAAAGTTACATATGAAACCTTAGAATTATTGCCATCCAGTGTTTTTGGAGACGAAAATTCCCATTTGCCCGGACTCAACAAGCAACATTGCTTCATGAAGTCGTTATTCCCATTTGCCCGGACTCAACAAGCAACATCGCTTCATGAAGTCGTTACTAAAATGTCCATTACTCGAGCAAAAATTATTTCATGTTTGGTATAACATACTGATTCATACGGAATCAAAGGAACTATCGATAAGCCACCTCTTTTTAAAATCCAAATGGATTCATTTTGAGAGATTAGTGATCTTGTAAAAATTGACGAATGTAATAATCAGAGAAATGGCAACAATGCATGTTCAAATTAAAGGTACAATCTATGATTACAAGATTATAAGGATGTCTTTAAAGTGTGCATTTTTAAATAAATGTCCCAACCGCGACTTCATACCTCAATTCTTGCGCTTGCTACGGAATTCTTGAGCAACGCTGCAGTATGCAGGGAATTTTTTTTGGGAACTTGCCATTGCTAGAAAAAAGTTTTCTCTTTAATAAGGAACAAAACATCAATCTCCGGACCATATCCAAGAAGGGGGGAAAATGACATTATTGAAACCCTCGTTTTAATCAGGAATGCTTAGCAGTTTTCTGTTATAAAAACCACTTCGGAAACTCAATTTTACAATGATGAAATTACGTGTTTTCCTCAGGGAAGTGACTGAGTGAGAATAAGAATGTGTCATTTAAGTTTTATCAAATTTACTAAAAGCATATCCTTACAACCCGAAGTGTCCCTCTTTAATATGTACCTGTCTCATTAGTTCATTCTCTAACATCAAATTATAGCCTTCCGATTCTTCTCCGTTTCTAATTAATTTGCTTTTCATGTTGGGTTGGAAGAATAAATTTCCAATGAGGTCTTATAGAGGTCTCTGAATAATGTCTTGTCTAAGGTACTTTGACTCACTTACCAATACCTCATTTTGATGAACCTTTCAGATCAATCATTTGCAAGAACGGATGCGAATGATTCAACAACATGAAGCAGCAGATAGGTGCGTTGGGGGCCCTCACTGTCTATTACAGTCATCGCCAATGTTTCCATCCAATCCCATGGATCCTGCAATTATGGTAAAACAAGATTTATTCTGTTCGTTGTTAGCATCTTTTCAAGTGCCGTATTGACAAGACATTTAAGTGTATTGGCTGTTTGATACAATCAGCATTTTTTAATGAGAAATTTAAGTGTGCTGAAGCACCGCTGGCCTGGTCAAAGGGTATCCCAAAGTAAGGGCACCAAAATGCCCTTCTTCACGGATTTGGAATTGGTTGGTCTAAACCCTTTCAGGAGGGTTCACCATTCATCATTCACCACAATTGGGGAGAGGAAGGATACTTCTAACAACACGCATAAACCTCCGACATACGCTCTCATCCTTGAAAACAATAAATTTGATGGATAAAAAAATCGCCACTGAGAAAATTTTGGGGTTCCAATTTATACATTGCATTGATTCACCACTTGCAGCATGATAAAGAAAACTTAAGAGGTCCGCCAAAATAAAAGGGTATCCCAGGATAATGGCACCAAAATGCCCTTCCTCACGGATTTGGAATTTGTTGGTCTAAACCCTTTCAGAAAGTCCTAAAAACATGGTTTTGGGCAATTTTTACCTTTCGACCCAAACCACCCCCCCCCCTCCAGCCCCCAAAAACCCATTTTTCGGGGAATTTTGGGGAATTTTCATGTTTTATATCATATCTCCCGCGTTTGCTGACGAAACTGCACAAAAATTGCACGGAACATGCATCAGACCAATCAGATTCTTGGGCAAAAAAATGTATGAAACCATACTTAGACCCCTGAAAAAATTCGTAATAATCGTAATTTTTCAATGTTTTTCAGATTTTATATGTTAAAAAAAAATGAGAACACATAAATTCCCCCCCCCCCTTAAAATGTACGTAATAAGCCCAGTTGTTATAAAAAAAAATTCAAGCCTTCACGCATGACGCGTCCCACCAAGAAAATGATTTTTCTGGCGTCAAATTGGTCAAAATGCCTATTTCGGCAATGGTTTACACGCACGCCATCAAGATTCTCGGACAAAATTACTAATTTTTGGTTCAAATATTGCAAGAAGAAATAGTAGCCCTAGTATCGTTAGAAAAGGTTTCAAGTCGATCGAGTCCTTGCGTCCTACGCAAAGTACCGGTTTTTGGCGCCAAAATGGTCAAAATAGCTATTTCAGTAGAGGTTACTGGCATCCATCAAAATTTTCTAGCAAAACCACTAATTTTTTCCCCAAGCATTCGAAAACCATGCGCTTGTTTTGTTAGAAAAGGTGTGAGGTCGATTGAGTCTCTGTGTCTCGTTTAAAAAACCCGTTTTTTTGGCGCCAAAACGGTCAAAACAGCCACCTATTTCAGTTGATGTTACCTGCAGCCATTACAATTTTAGAGCCAAATGACTTATTTTTTCTCCTGAGCATTTGAAAATCATGCTCCAATCTTGTTAGGAAAATTTTCAGATCGATTGTGTCCCTGGTCTTACGTTTGGATGGAGCATTTTTTTGGAAATATTGTCCGATCGAGTTCAGACGTGTGACAATTGATGGTCCTTTTAAATACAAAACGAAATGTTTATTTTGAGTTTTTCCGAAAAATTCGATCTTTCGTAAGTCAATTGGACCCCAAAGGCGTAAGTAAAAAATGTGATTTTTGAAAGGTTAGAAAAAGCATTCCTGCTTGGAATTGACGAGTTACGGACTTTGGGCCAAAATTTCGTCCGTTTTGGCGTATCTTTAACGCTCTAGGTAGAAACAGCCTATTTACGGTGCGCGAAAGCTTAGAAGGTGCGTGACGGCATGGCGCAGCGTGGTGTCGCTAAAAGCCGCCGTGGGTGCTTTCAGCGGCCACCCGCGAACCAATATTACGCGAATTTTCGATGGAATGCATCTTAACTGTTTTTTTCATTATCAAATCTCAGCAGCACAATAAAGTATATCAGGTATAAACTTAATCTCAACGTGAATCCAAATAATGCTAAAATGAACAATGATTTTTACAGCTTTCCACTAGAATTAAAATCAGTGGCGAAGTGAGAATGATCGATTATGGATATTTCTCCATATGAAGCCATGGTGTAAAGCACACCCAAAGCAGCCAAAGCTTTTACTTTGTGTGCTTGACAATTCATCGTAATATCTACCATTTAAACCCATGTAAAAAGATCAATAAACAAGGTGTGCGCCAGGAACACGTGCATTATTGGTTTACACCATAGCTTCATATGGGGAACTATCCATAATCGATCATTCTCGCATCGCCATTGATTTTAATTCTAGCAGAAAGCTTTAAAAATCATCGTTCATTTTAGCATTTTTTAACCTTTTCTAATAAGACAAGAGCATGGTTTTCGAATGCTTGGGGAAAAAATTAGTGATTTTACTAGAAAATTTTGATGGTTGCCAGTAACCTCTACCGAAATAGCTATTTTGACCATTTTGGCGCCAAAAACCGGTACTTTGCGTAGGACACAAGGACTCGATCGACTTGAAACCTTTTCTAAGGATACTAGAGCTACTATTTCTTCTTGAAATATTGGAACCAAAAATTAGTAATTTTGTCCGAGAATCTTGATAGCGTGCTAGTAAACCATTGCCGAAATAGGCATTTTGACCAATTTGACGCCAGAAAAATCATTTTCTTGGTGGGACGCGTCATGCGTGAAGGCTTGAATTTTTTTTTGTAACAACTGGGCTTATTACGTACATTTTAAGGGGGGGGGGGATTTATGTGTTCTCATTTTTTTTTAACCACTAAAATCTGAAATACATTGAAAAATTACGATTATTACGAATTTTTTCAGGGGTCTAAGTAAGGTTTCATACATTTTTTTGCCCAAGAATCAGATTGGTCTGATGCATGTTCCGTGCAGTTTCGTCGGCAAACGCGGGAGAAATGAAATAAAATGCGAAAATTCCCCGTGCAATGTGGAACGACACACCACATGTCTTTCTGTTGCTCGTATGTGAAAACAATAAGAAAGTTGAAACTATATCTTCAGAATTAAAGAATCGAATTTTTTTTCATGTTATCTGTAGTTATCAAGGAATGATTCCACTGAGGTAGTTTTATTTTAATAGACAATTAATTAGTTTTATTTTAACAAACTCATATGGAAAGTAAGAGGAAATAGCGATTTCATCACTGTAATTTATCTCTTTTATCATTTTCTGCCTGCCGCCCTGATATGTTTGAAATTCCTTAGTCTTTGGACTTTTTAAAAGTGGGCTTATCCAGGATTTTGCCTCTAATAATATGCAATAAATCGCAGCATAATAATACTCCCCTGGTACTTCCAGAATATCTATACTATAAGCTCTCAAGCCTCCTAATTTTGCGAAACTGGTAACGCTTAGTTCCAGCGTTCTACCGGGCCGATTTTTATGATTTTTGCGGCTATCGACGGGCAATTGTCTCTAGATAAGCCAACTCTTTTCAGATTTTCAAAATATGGCCTAGGTTTTTTTATATTAAGTGGTAAAGTTGCGAATTCTCCCATTTAAACAATGTAAATTTATATTTTTTGTCATAGTTCGTTTGAGCGTTCTACCGGGCCGATTTCTAAGTTTTTTGCGGTAATCGACGGGTAATTGGCCCTAGATGAGCCCGCTCTATTCAGATTTTGGAAATAGGACCCAGGTTTTTTTGCAATCACGTTATAAAAGTGAGTGAATTTTCAGAATGCTCCGAGACTGCTACCGCTATGCGCGGGAGGATGCGCAGTGGTCGAGGAGGTTGCGCCGCAGTAGCTGTGTAGCCTGCGCATCAGCTCTACACTTATCTACACAAGATTCGCCCCGTCTGCCTCAGGTAGAGCGGTGGCCGAGTCGTCAAAGACGTCGGAAGCGTCCTCTTTAAACATGGTGTGGGTTCGATCCCCGTCTCCCGAAACTCTTAATTATTACCTGATTATCAATGTTCGTTGTTCTACTGCAATATTTCATCAAGTAGTCATTCCAAAACGCGTCCTTTAGACTTCAAAAAAATAATTTTGTTTCTTTATTCATCAAAACCAAAAATTATTTCATTCTAAAAGTAAAGTATACCTTATATCGTAATTTTTTAGGGGAAAAAATAAAACTAACACCGATAGGAGGGTAAAAATAGGGCCGCGAAGCGGCCCATTGATGGCGCGGAGCGCCTTTAGGGGGTTGGGCCGCGTAGCGGCCAGGGGGCGTAGCCCCCTAGTTAATCATAAAACTTAAGTAACTATAACTATAATTATAACTTGTTGGATGAGGAGCCTCAGGGAATGCAATAAGCCAAACAAGTATACCAAGAATTGGCTTTTCATTGCCGAACAAGTCATTTGGCATGTCTTTCAACAGGCAACTGATAGATTGATCAACGGTTGAATGTTATAGTCCGGAAAGTACAAGCTCTCACAATTTTGGAGATACTAGTGGGCAGTTTCTCTTTGTTTCTGGAAGTACCTATCCTTAAGATAATTTAGCACCAATTGCATCTCAAGTTTGGCATGCATGCAATCAATGCCAAAAATGGCATTTCAAAATTTGAAACATGGCCACTCAGTCTTTAAGAAATGATAATGGTGGGGCCTTCAAATTCTTTGATAGTAATTTTATTTGATTTCAATTATTAGTGGTCAGTTATTAGCTCTTCATTTTTTTTCTTGCAGATGCCTACGCCAACAGGACGTGGTCGTGGTAGGGGCAGAGGGAGTCGAGGCGGAGCTACACCTCGTCCAAGGAAGAGTAGGAGTAAGAAGGCAGCGGAAGTTGAGCCCACAATGGTCTCATTCTCTCCTGTAATTGGTGATGGATTGAGTCCCTACCCTCCATCAATGCCAGGAGTGCCACAGCATCCAGTTCCTGTTCCTGTTATTGAGCCAATATCGCAGCAACTTCCCATGTTACCTGCACCGCACATAGGGCTCCCACCATCACAAGCGTCTCCTCCGTCCATTCCAGCTCACCCCCCTGAAGAAATGTCTCATCAACCATACAGACGCACACCTCCTCAATCAGAACCTCTCTCTGATCCACCTCCACCTTTATTAACGCAAGAAGTTCAAAGGCCTCATGTCACTTCTCGAAAATGTCTTGACTCTCATTTATCTCCTGTTAGCACACAATCACCAGTTCCTTCCATGCAAGCATCTCCTTCACCTCCACCTCCGACTCTGATGCCACCGTCCCCAGGCTATCAAATTAGACCGCATGAAAATGTTGTATCTGTTGACATGAATACTGAGACAAGCAGGTCGCTCCCTGTATCGGAGCCAGAAATTTCCCCAGTATCATCTGAAGAGCCTCGACAGTTAGAGAAGGAAGCCCAGATGATAGCAGAGCCAGCTTTGATTGTGACCACTGAAGTAACTTCAGAATCGGAACAAACCGGAGGAGTAGAGTTGGAAGTTGAACCTGCTAAATACGAGTCAGAGCTCAGTTTGCTTAATAGATCCGAACCAGTGGGAGACTTCGAGTTAGTGTCTGAGCAGACAGAATCAAGGTCCAAGGTAGATAGTAATGGTTCAGCGGATGATGGGGCAACAGTGAAGGACAAACAGAATGAGGAAACTGAAAGGATTCACCAAGAGCCAGATGCTACAGCTTCACTAACTGATCAAGTATCCGAAGAACTAGACACAGTAATCGGAGACAATCCTATAGAGGGAGATGAGGAAAAGGATTCTGATGCTACCTCTCCAGTGGAGCAACAACCGCCAGTCTTGTCACCAAAGCTATGTGAGCCGCCTGGTACTAGTGTGTTCAACTTCACCGAAGATGAGGAGCCACCACCACCCCTCCATATGGGACCAGATGGAACACCTAGAAAACCAAGGTAACCTTTATCTGGTAGTTTCATCCCTTCCAATTTGTCCTGTCTTGTGAGTCAAACATTATCCCTTGGATGCAGTATGGACCTGTTGCAAAATCATGAGTTATGACTGATAAATCTTTGTGTGTGCATTTGCCCTGAAGCCTCTCTTGTCCTTCGTGTTTATCTGAATCAACGTATGTAAAAACACCCGTTGTCCAATTCAAGGCTTCATAATTGCGGTGAGTTTCTTTTGTCCCATGACACTTATGCATAGGATCGATCTCTTTTGTAAACGTTTAATTACACTGAAGGGATTATTTATAAAATTGTTCTACTTCCCTAACGTCTTAAACCATGTTGTGTCGTTAAGTTACAACGAAATTGTCCACTCAAATTCTGAAACTCTGTCTTGGACATCGGACGTTTTTGCATACGTCAATTCATTGAAAGAGTTGTCAGTCACACTATGCCACTAATGGTAGCCACATTAACAAGGGGAGTCTACGAAGTGACATCCTGGGATTGGGTTCATTTTGCTTGTACATGAAAAAGAGACAAATCTAAGGTTGGCGTATTTTTTTTTAGCCGCCAACTCCCAACCGTCCTCGAGATTTAACGAGAAGTTACGATTTTTGCACGTTTCCGCGCGGAGTTCTGGTGAGTCAACTGAGCGTCGGCAAGCCGCACGAAGCGCCTTCCCTATGAGCTTTGGTCGCGATGTCTATCTACCGACTTGACCGGCCACCCCTATCAACTGTTCCGTGGCCGAACGGTGGAGTTTTCACCTAGTGAACCGAAGATCACGGGTTCGAGTCCAGATCATTGCCGTTGTTTTTAAGATACGCTGCAGGGCGTTTTTACAAGTTTTATTTATTTTTATCACACACCACAGGGTCCGCGGCCCATCCCCCGGGGCGAAAAGGTCCGCTTCGTGGCAAGCGAAATCATTGAAACCGACCGTTGACGGTTACTGAGCAAATAATTCTAATTGATTGACGAAACGATGTTTCAAATAAAAATTTCCCACCACTCAATATTCTTAATGACTTTCTCCGTACTCTGAATTTGCAACCGCCAAAGGTCGATTTCTATGATTTCACTTGCCACGAAATGGGCCTTTTCGCCCCGGGGGTTGGGCCACGTAGCGGCCAGGGGGCGGACCCCCTGGTGTGTGATAAAAATAAATAAAACTTGTAAAAATGCCCTGCGGCGCATCTTAAAAACAATGGCAATGAACTGGACTCAAACCTGTGATCTTCCGTTCACTAGGCGAAAACTCTACCGCTTGGCCATGGAACAGTTGATAAGGGATGCCGTTCAAGTCGGCGGATGACGTCAAAAACCAAACTTTTCAAAGGGTGATGTCTCGATTAATGTTAAACGTAGAAAGTTGCGGTTTGGACAGATCTTAATTTTTTCAACTAACCTACAAGAATCAAGCATCAAAACTTAATTCCGTGACCAGCGCAACTGACCCATTCCTGCTTCATGACATATTGCTCGAAAGTGCTTGAAAATTTTTGGCGCAAAGTTCAGGTCCATATTATCAGTTTCGAATTGATGACCGATTAAAGTCTAAGAAAGTCCAAACAAATTTTTTGGCAACCTTTAAAGGAATTTGTCTTAAGCATGGAATCAAGGTGTTATTTTAAAACACCAATGTTACTTCCTGACTACCTTCTTCAGTCTTTCATTTAAAATTGATGACATTATTTTATATGCCGTGCCTAAGACTGTAATACCTCTGTAATTTTTGCATTCTAATTTGTCTCCTTTTTTGAATATTGGACAAATTGTTCTGATATTCCATTTTGATGGCATTATTTCAGATTTCCATATTGCTTTTATTAATTCGTGTATCTCTTTGATTAACATTTGGGTCATTCCACGTCAACTGTGCCAGGCTCGGAACCCGACCCCCTCCGATTTGGCTGAAAATTGGTATACGGGGTCTTTACATCATTATAAGAGACTAATTTGAAGGGTTTTCCCATCCGACGCCCCTTTCGCGAGATATCGACCCCCAAAGATGGGGTGAATTTTAGCGATATTCAAAAAAGCCCGTTTTAGCGATTCTCATTTTCTCGACTTCCCTCTCTTTGACTCTCCATAGCGAGACTCTGTTTCGATCCATCATACTTTGAAAGAGTGTTTCTAGACCAATTTTTCATGTAGATTCTAAATATGCCATTGAAATTAAGCTAAAAATGATTTAAATGGCCGTAATTTAGAATTTTTTAAAATTTACGATTCTTTCGCCATTCAATGTTCAAACTCAATTATCTAAAAAACAGTCACTCCGATTTTCGATTTTTTTTTTATACTTCAAGCTTAGGATATATACTTTTGGTTGATATACTTTTTTCAAATTTTATCGGACGGTTAAGGGCCTAAAAAAATTCAAATAGGCCAAAAAAGGTCAAAAATTGGTAAAATAAGACGATTTTTTACATTTTAATCCAAATATTTCGGTAATGAACACTTCAATTAACGATGTTTTCCCCCAGTTTACCCTCTAAGATGTATAAAATCAGACTATCGACACTTTTCATACATTTACCGATCGATTAACGGCCTGATGGAAACTGGAAACCGACCGAAAATCCTCGAAATTGACGCCGAAAGACGATTTTTCACACCGTAACCGATGCTTTCCATAGATTGTAACTGCAATTTCCAATTTTCTCTCTCTATTTCAACCTTAAGGTATATACTTTCGAGTAATAAACACTTACTAACGTGCATCGATGGGGAACGGATCTAAACGGAAATGAAAATCGGCCGGAAATGCTCAAAAATGACGGAAAAAGGCGATTTATTGCATAGTCAGGGAAGCATGTGTTCGGAAATTACGTCCCGTTTGCACGTTTTTGATGCAAGTTTACTCCTTCATTTTGGTCCCTAGAATGAGAAAATCTTTGGTGGACTATCCGATTTTGATGCCAAGGCCCCAAAAACAAGATGGCGGCCAAAATGGAGGCTGAAATTGAAATGTTGGTGAAACGGCACAAAACGTCAAGAAAGATGTCGATCCTCATGTTTTTTGAATCGTAGATTCCAAAAAAATTGTCATACAGACCCCTCGACCCACGGAAATGACCAAACTCCAAGATGGCGGCCGATTTTGGCTCTTTAGTGGCTAAAACGTCAAATGAGGAGCGAAGAGAGGAGTAAACACTCCAGATAACAGTTTTCGAGGTCACCGATTCCAAAAAAATAGGAGAAAAAAACATCTCATGCCAAATGGTACTGATTTG